CCCCCCCCCCCCCCCTACATGTCCTGTTCTCCTCTCCGCTGTCAGCCTCACACTAATGGTGGCGGCTTGCGTGAGCTGTCCCTCCCCCCACGGCGGTGAGAGACGACCCCTGGGAGAGGACACTGGAGGGAGGCCAGTAAGTGGTCAAAGCCTCCGCTGTGACCCCACAGGGACCGGGAGCAGGACGTCCCAGGACAAAAGCCCAGAGTCGGATGAAGAAAATAATCCAGGAGGATTTCTGTCTCCCCGTGTGAACCTCGACACATTTGCAGTTTATCCATAAATAAAACAAAGATGATGTGCTTTCCCACCCCCCTTTTTTGGAGACCTGATGAGGAATCAAATTAGCATGATGTTGTTTAATTTGTGGATTTGTTGTAACATCCTCATCAGTCACACTAAACAGATCTTGACCTGCTTATTCCCAGTTGTCAGCTGCTCATCTAATCCAACTAATCATCCCACCCCCCCCACCCTGTGTTTGAATAATGACAAATCTGTGAGAATGTCTCACCACCCATCTGGAGCTCACGGGCGTGAGATTGCTCTACATGCACCGCTTGAATCAGAACATGCAACCTTTACTGGCCACAGGTGGGAATCATTCTCAGAGGCAGTGTTGCATTTAAAAAGCAATTCCCCCCCCCCCCCAACAAAAAAAAGACATCCCCCCTGAAGAACAAACTGTTTTTTTGGAGACATGTTGTTGCAATCATGGTGATGTAAGTAGAGCTTGACTAATAGTGTAAAGAGAGAAGGAAATAAGCTGGAAGACAACGTGAAAAAAGCCCCGATGTCTCTGTGAATGTTCCACTTCAGATCGTGTGTTTGGGGGAAGAAACACCACAAGAATGTGTGTCTGTGCCGCTCTCACCACCCTCCGCTCTGGCAGGATTAAGTAAGAAAACACTCTTCCCACACAGAAGAGCTGCTCTTGATCAGGGAGGCAGGAGAGGCATGAAGTCAGATGAGCAGGCAGGTGGTCTTTGGGCTGGTTTTTCATTTTAAAGTCAGATCCACTGGACAGTTTAGACTTCAGATCAAAGGGTTGATCAAATCTAATCAAATCATTTAGATATTTAGAAACAAACTAAATAATAATAATTTAATAATAATAACAAATTGTCAAATGTAACTTACATTTTTCAGGCATTAAATTAATATTATTTGTGTCCGAGCGCACAATTCACACGAATACTAAAATATGTTTATTTAAACTAAAATAATTTCTATTGATAAAAAAGACCATGAACTTAAGGCTAGAGTGATTCTCTCTACACTGATGATTATATAAATTAATCAATGTATTAACATAATAAAAAAGGTGATATATTTGAATGCTCCTGAGCACTTGTTCACATATAAATGCGGTCGCTTGCAGTGAAATTCACTGATACAGCGCGTGACCTGACACGTGTAAATGCACCATTTTACATGTATTTTTATCAGTTAGTTTCCTCACTTTTAATTAAGGTTACACTGGATACTAATTTAATTATTGCAACATTCAGGTTTTTAACTTGATTTCCAGTTTTTAACATCCAGAGAACTTCAGAGAGAACTTACTGTAGGAGACCGTGTTTGCTGTCCTTCCACCGGTTTTCGCCCTGTTATTCATACTATTGCTGTTGCTGTTGCTGTTGTTGCTGTTGCTGTTGCTGTTGCTGTTGAGCACCTGCAGTATCGCCTCCTGAGGAGTCCGAGTGTTTCCTCTGTACTCCGGTAAGATCTCCGTGGCGTCGTTCTTTAGTACCTTCCATCCCTTCACGGCGGTGCAGCATCCCTGCAGCAGCACGAGCGCCGCGCTGGACACGAGGAGGGCCAAAGACACCTGCATGCTGCTCGGTCGAAGGCAGAAATAAAGCGCGGACGCACGAGGGGAATTTAACAAAGAAAAAAACACACGCGCGAGAGGAAAGAGAGAGAGAGAGAGAGAGAGAGAGAGACAAGTTGGTCAGATCCACCCTTAGTGCACGAGGCGCTCACGGTATTTAAGCAAGTTTCTCCACATAGCTGACAATTAAAGCCTCACGCGGAGTGGGAGGGGTCGAACCTGGAGAGAGATTCATTGAGAAACCAGGAGAGAGAGAGAGGGAGAGAGGGATGCGTGCGAAAGGGAGGGGAGGGAGAAGAAAATAGAGGAGAGGGAGAAAGGAGAGAGAGAGGGAAAGTGAAAGGAGAGGAGGAGATGAGAGGGAGAAAGGAGGAAGAGGAAATAGTGAGATAGAAAGTGAGAGGAGAGGATGAGAGGGAGAAGTGGGGAAGAGGAGGAAGTAGAGGAGAAGAAAATAGAGATGGAGAAAGAAGGGAGGGGAAAGGAGACAAGGAGAGGGGTAAAGGAGGAAGAGGAGGTCATAGAGAGGGGGAAAGTGAGAGGAGAGGAGAGGGAGAAATGAGGAAGAGGGGAGGAAATTGAGAGATGGAAAGTGAGAGGAGAGGAAGAGATGAGGGAGAAAGGGGAGAAGAAAATAGAGAAGAGAGAGAAAGAGTGGAGAGGAAAGGAGAAGAAGAGATGCGAGGGAGAAAGAAGGAAGAGTAAGAAATAAAGAAGGGGGAAGTGAGAGGAGAGGCAGAAATGAAGAAGAGGAAGAGGAACAAAATAGAAAAGAGGGAAGGTGAGAGAGGAGAGAGGGAGCAGAGGGGACGAAAGTAAAGGAGGTGAAAATAGATGTGATGGAGAAAGAGAGGAGGAAATGGGAGATAAGACTAGAGGAGGAGACAGAGAGGAAAGGAGAGGAGAAGGAGATCAGATGAGACCACAGAGGAGGAGAGACATCATGCTTATCTCACTGTGTTGTTGTTGTTGGACTTAAGTATACAAATGCATCTGCTCCTCCTCCTCCTCCTCCTCCTCCTCCTCCTTTAATGATTTCTGCAGCATTACGTGTCTGAAAAGCATTCAGGCTTTTTTTTTTTAAAGGCGGTTTATTTATTTTGGCCGTCACAAGTTGTTCAAGATGCGCCCGACGCTCTTCCTGAGCCTCCTCATCCCGCTCCTGTTACACCGAAACAAGTCCGTACACAAGTTAATCATTAATTCCTCTCGTTAATTATCCATCATCACGGCAAAGCCATGACTCAATCTTTTCACACCTCCATTAAACTCCTCCCTCCTGCAATATGATCTGCATTCATCTGATGTTTTATACATGGGATATTGTAGTTTGAGTAACCCGACATGGAGGCTGATGATCAGTGATGATGTGATGACAGATGAGGCCTCTTTCACTCAAACACTGCCCTCTTGAGGGAGAATAAATAAAGTCTTGTGAAGAGCGGGACAAATGGGATTATAGGTAATCTAAAAGTATAGATCTATCTGGGAGAGTCAGAAGCTTGTAGGATAGAAAAATAGAAAGGCCTTGGTCGATATCACGGCTTTGACACATCTTGTACCCGTTCATTTGAGGCACAGCGACGCTCCCATAATAACACATCATGGTCCATCTACTTTTATACAAGCCTTAAATCAGGGTTTGCAGAGCGGCGACCAACTGGTTGTCCATCGCAGTTGAAAATGGTGGACGCAAAACGGGGATGACTGAATTAAAATAATGATATCGTAAGATGAAGCTGAAATAACGTCGGTCACCAACATCACTCTTTTCTTCTATAAATGACAACAGAGTGAAAGTCTCCTTCGGTCCAGAGTTACCTTTTAAATATTCTTACCACGACAATAATTTGAGCTTTTTCACAATATATGTAAAAAAAACTGCATCTTCAAGTGGAAATGTGTCCTCTTTGTGATGTTGATACAGGATAACGTCTGGCGTTGTTCCACAGAGAGTGACATTTTAAAAATTCTCTGGGAAATGTTATGTGGTTTTGGCTATAACAATAATTTCATACTATTGATTTATTTGTTTTTTGGCTACTTTAGAGCAGCAAAACCAGCAAAAATTACACTGAGAACACTGATATATTAAGTGTTGCCTATTTAAACATTCAGCAGTAACAACATAATCACCCCGATCGACGCCCTCTAACATGTGCTGTTATGAGCATAACTTGAAAAAGAGAATGTTTATCTTCCTGTAATATGATTGATTTTGTTTTCTCAGATCATCACGTTTGCAGCTAAATGGCTCCAACATAAGGAAGTTCACGGGGTGAGCTGGTTTTGGCAGTGTTCGTGTCTGCAAACGTATTGATTCGAATTAAAAACGTGTTTGATAAATACGTGCATGAGCCTCGTAGCACGCTTGCAGAGAGACGCACAGTGACACGTGGTTAACGTTGGGAAACGATTAGTTAGCTTTAGGAAACAAAACTACTTGATCAGGCTGGTCTCATCCTGCATGCGTAGCTATACCTACGAAAAATAATGTGCCGTATTTCATGGACAAAATAATTTTGTATGTTATCCACGTAATCATGAAAGTATAACGCCGCAAAAGCACACAGGACGGGAGGTCAGAGGTGGACGGAGCCAACAAACAGACCTCGGTTTGTTCCCTGTGTGAAACGAGAAGTCAACGTTGATGTCTTACAGTAACTACAGCGGACAGTCGAGTCCTCCTATTGTGTTCAAGCCTGCAGCTCTGAGGTCGTGCCAGAATGTTTTTTTGTATTTTGTGAGCGACGGATGATCCGACTGTCTACACAAAGCCAGCTCTGATTACAGCCTTCTCGCCAACGTCGCGACCGATGTCAGTCCCGGTCTCAATTTAGACCTCTCTTGGTTTCTTTATGGAGCAGTTGGGCCCCAGCACAGTGGGTTTTTTTTAATCACGATAACAGTACAATGAGGCCCAAATAACAATCAGATGCTCCCCAGATTGCAAGTAAGCCTCCAGCACTGCAGAGGACGGCAGGGTATGATTTCTTTATGGAAAACTGAGAAAAACAGTGTTTTCAGTCCATAAACAAACCGTCTCGGCTGCTCTGTGTTTTCTCGCGTGATTCATGGAACACAGTTGTTGAACTGCTCGATCACACAGGTTAGAAACCAACACAATCACTGGCCAGCGAGAGTAAATAAAGGAGATATTGTTGTTTGGAACTCGGCAGTGTTTAACTCAAGAGTTCGAGAGGGTGAATTATTCATAATGTGTCCACAGCAATTATGCAAAGTAGGTTTGAGTTCAGCTTTCTGGCTTCGCACATTAACCCTCAGAAGGATAGAACAGTGAACGCCTCATGAACGTGTGAGAACGAGTGCAGCAAACAGCGACATGTTGATGTGACCCTGCCACATATTTAAAAGTCGAATTCATATTCTGTTCATGCCGTTAGCGCTGAGTAGAAGTAGGAGTTTAGTGTCTCAAACCGCCGTGTTTCCGTCGTGTTGTGAGCTTGTTGCAGCGCTTTTTTCTAAGTGCTGCTAGAATGTTAGGATGAAGAAAATGCATTGGTATTTGCTTGTGTTTTTGTCAATGTGCATGCGTTTTCTTAATTGTGCAGAGCGTTGGCCTCTCAGGGCTGCCGTACAAACTCATAAAGCAAGTTTTCTGTCGCAATTTGGTGCAATTTTTAACTGAATTTACAGCAAATTGGCTAAAGAATATTAGGAGCTGGGTGCGTCAAGATAAACAGCCGGTTGCGGCACTACACCGTTGCAGAAGAAGGGAACACAATGAGATGATGCAATTTAAAAAAGAGCACCGGTTAAACCTTAAACATGGAAAACAAAGAAGAAAACATGATGCCTGTTATGTACTAATATGAAGAACGTCTTTCTCGTCGCTCCACACAGATGTGATGTTTTTGTCTTCCCTCATTTTTAGTCTCTCCAGTGGACGTTTAAGTTGCTTCATGATTTATTCACTCAGTCTGTTTTCTTTGCACTTTGTTACAGTTTTCTTTTACGACTCACCATGTTCCACCTCAGCCAAGCGTCACAAAGTCTTTGCAATATTTCGAGTTAATATAAGACGACATAAGATGATTCCTAAACTACATGCGACACCAATATTAAGATCTAGATACGAAGCAGAGGGCCCCACAATCTGAATAAAAACCACATACTGTTTATTTTTTGCACTCTTGACTTGAAGATTCTTTAAAACATGTTAAATAAAGGCAGATTTTGAATATCTGCTGGTATGTTCTCCTCAGATGTGGATCAGTTCTGAATATCCTGATGCTTCAGTGTGGTTTATTCCCTTTGGAAAGCTGTCATATACTATTTACACAAGAACAAATTGGACCAATTCCTACTCACAAATCAGGCTTCAAAAGAACAAGATCTCTTCTGACGGGAACAAATCTACATTAAGAGCACAGATAAAGTTACAAAGCAGACCATTCTGGAAAATCTGTGATCTCGTGTATGATATACAGATACATTTATCGGTGTTTGTGCATTTGAAATGTAGATTGTATCATATCTACATTTTAAGTGGCTGCACATCTGGATATGCTTATAGCCGTTTCACATAGAACGGCACCAAATGGATTCCCACTTTTAAATCTGTTGCCCCTGTATATGTTTTCTCTCCTAAACTTGCACTATTCTTCGTCATTTTAAACACAACCGAGGATGTTAAAGTGAATATTTCAGTGCTATTGGACACTGTGTAAAGAATCTCAACATGACGACAGAGAGTGCTGTAATGTTGATCAATTGCTGTGCATTGACCCCGTTTTACAGTGTTTCATCGACTGTGGCTCTGCTCTGCGTCACACAGAACAAACTCGCTCTCCAACAGCTCAGACGACTGATTTATCAACTGCTCGTTTCATACACACAACTCCTTCCAAACCAAACTTGTGCGTTGTCGTGTAGTGGAAATAATTTATCGCCGTACAGCTGTGCAATATTGCAGGAGAACAAAGCAACACTCCTTGTTTTCATGCACCGGATTAAACAGAAATGTGAACGCAACGGGGGGGAGACAGTGGAGACGGTTAAAGTGGCTTTATGACTCAGGATGCTGACTTCTAACTGTAAGAGTAATTTGTCTGCTGGCAGCCACGCTGGGTTTCTTCAGGAGAGCAGGAGGTCACTGGGAGGTGAACGCAAGACGTGATAAGCCTTAAACTCCAAAAGTGGGA